TTGAGGAGGAGGAAAAAAAAAAAAAAGAGAGAGAAAAGAATTAAGTCACCAACGTTAAATCGCACAGGAGAAGTTAGCGTGTTTAACGGCCTCGAGGATGTGGGGCCGCCCCTCCCTGCCGCGCAGCACCTGCGGGTGCAGCAAGGACACAGTCTAAATGTAAGTGGTACTGCAGCTGCTGCCTGTTTTCTTTCCCTTTCCCACACCAGCCTCTTAATTTGAGCTACAGCTCAAATTTGGGTGCCCCCTGAGCAAAAGCTCTCCCCTGCAGACCGATGGTTTCAGCAGCCAGTACTGCCACATCCTGCTGGACTCAACACACACGAAGGGAGGATCTTTGTCGGCCCAACGAATGCCATTGCGGCTGATGAGGGGTTTGGGGCCATCCTGGCTCAGGTGAAGAAAGCAGTGCCTCCAAAACATCATCTGAAGGATGATCCATTGCAGGTTATCACTGGTTTGCTGAATGATTATCCACACTCCTCTAACTGAGCCTGCAGGACAGAAATCACATTTATTTTTATTTTACCCTCGCTTTCCTTTAGGTCTCACCTGGAATTGAGACAAAAACTTCAGCAGGTGTATGTTTTGAATTAGGATAGTAGAAGGAATCTTCCAGAAGTGCCTAAGAGTTCTTTATTAATTTGAGTAGGGGGTGAATTCATGAAGGAAGTTTTTTGGTGGAGTATTGCAATGTTTTTAATGTCGATTGTATAGGCTTATTGTATTTACTGTCAAACAGCTATGATACTGCCATATTTGTGCTACAGTGTAGTTTCAGAATACAAAGGTCAACAAGAAAGGTCTCAGAGCCAAAGCCAGGTAAAGATCCCACAGATTTGTTTGTCCCTGAGACCATTTAAGTACATTGGATTGCAATCCTTTTTGTGGAGGTGGGTGGGTTTGAACCAGTGACCTCCTGGTTCCTAACCCAGCACTTTGCCCCTGAGCTACGTCCTGCTGCAAATCAGCCCCTGGGGATCCCCCTGAGGCTGGGGTATAGCTCAAGGGTACAGTGCTTGACTGTGGTGCAAAAGGTTGCCGGTTCAAATCCAGGGAACTCCCCCCCCCCCCCCCAACACAAACACTTATCTTGACTTGTAATCTCAACAAACCAACCTTACCCTGGTTTGATACCACAGCTCCCTTTAGGAAATAGTGCAGTCAGAATTTCTTACTGGAAAACAGGATCATGCTCATTGTTTGCAGTTTAAGTTAATGACAGTTATTCACACAGGAGAAACTAGACACCCAGTACCTCCATTCTGCCAGTTTGTTGGCATGTATGCGTATTGTTCAGGAGAGCATACAGAGGAAAAGTACTAAAGTATTCATACTTGGCAAGAGAACATCAAGTAATCTCTAAGACCATGAACAAGTAAGAAAATCTCTGGTCCATATTTCTTCTTTCTGTGAAGAAGTGTTGGAAAAGACAGTTGAAAAAGAGAGAGGGGGCACCTGGATTTGAACCAGGGACCTCTTGATCTGCAGTCAAATGCTCTACCACTGAGCTATACCCCCTGAGGTTAACAATGACAGAACTACCTCTGGAACAAAATATATATAGCCCAGTTTTATGGCCACTGGTTGGATTATTTCATTCGGCAGTCTGCACTTACATGTTAATGCACATGCAAAAGTATGTGCAGAGAGCATTACTAGAGAGACTCAATATCGGAGGCAAATACACATATACAATGTTTTTACTTACACAGTCTAGACCCCCTGCAGTTTCCTAATTGATAAAAACTATTATGGCCAAGCAACTAATATTATTTCTTTACTTAGTGACACGGATATTGACAGCAAATGTTTAGTCAAGGCTCAATATCTTTAATACTGAAGTTCAGATACCAACATTCTATGCAGGCAAGTTCAGTACGTCTGAAAATAAAGCAAGCTCCTTATGTTTTTCCTGAAAAACAGGACTCAGGGGGCACCTGGATTTGAACCGGGGACCTCTTGATCTGCAGTCAAATGCTCTACCACTGAGCTATACCCCCTTGCTTGTAAACAACTAAACAAGTAAACAAAGCGGTGTTTTAAAATATGTTTTTCCCCAGTCATCATCCCCGTTCTATGGGGAACAGATTAAGCAAATCCTGTGGAAGAAGGTTTGGTTGCAAGCCTGGGATGCAAAAGGGACCAATATAACCAAGGTCACTAGGGTCCAGATGAGGACAGAGTGTTTCCTTTTTTGATTTACCAGACGACCTTGGCTAGGTCCCTTTCCGTGTATATATTTGTTTCCTCTAACTTCAGTCTGTTTTGTTTGATGAGACAAAGTTATTTGACATAGGGACTGCCTCCCATTCTTTATTTGAAATTTTGGCCAGGATAGTTAAGTTTTATTGTAATGTGAGAAATAGTTGCAAGGAAGCTGAAGTGATCTTAAAGAGGGTAGTGAGATAAACCCTGTGTTGGATTTAGCTCTTCCAACAGGACAACAATGATATTTATTGATGAAAAAAATATTTTTCAGCCTCTGAAAAAAGTAAAAGATATAAATCTGTGTTTATGAGCCCTGTGAACATGCACAAATTCTGAAAAAAAACACATCTTGAGGGGGCACCCGGATTTGAACCGGGGACCTCTTGATCTGCAGTCAAATGCTCTACCACTGAGCTATACCCCCTCTTGCATAAAAGCTCCCAGTACAAATCTTTTCATTAATTACTAATATTTACAGCAAGCGTCTGGAAATTAACTCCAGGACAAAATATATTTTTAAGGAACTACTCATATCTCTGCTCACAAACACCCAAGTGTTAGTCCACTTCTGTTAACAACCTACTTTTTTAAACCTCTATCCACCACCTGATCAAACAGAGGTCATACTCTACAGGCAATTTTGGGGGGGGGAAAAAGCATTTAAGTAAATTTTAAAAACTCTCCAAAGCAACTTTTTCCTGAAGAAGGAAAAGGGGAGGGGGCACCCGGATTTGAACCGGGGACCTCTTGATCTGCAGTCAAATGCTCTGCCCCTGAGCTATACCCCCAACTGTGCAGAGAGCCAGGTAAGGCCAGTTCTCAGTAATGACGATGTTACTGTGCTACATTCCACTGCCTTCCCTCCCTGTACCTGCAGCAACTTCTCTCACAAAGAATCTCCTTCTAACTATAATTCATTTTCCCTTAAAAAAGCCCTCAGGCCTCTCACCACAGTTTGAACTGGGCTTATGTGGAGCAGGCTAATGAAATTTCCAGTTTCTCTAAAAAGGTCTGATAAGGGAGAAGAAAAAAAGATTTGAAACAATGACTTCAGAGCGCCTGGCACTTGGCTAGGCCTGTGTTTAGTCTCAGGGTGTGCCCTGCCATTAGCAAGCACACAAGCCATACAGAGTAATTACCTGGCAGAACAACTCCCATGCTGCCCAAAGTCTCTCTGTCTTCCCCTACTGACTGGCCCACAGGCAGGTGACAGGAGAAACAACACCCAAAACATTTAATGCACACCATGCCTGGGAAAAAGCCTTCACCTTCCTCTGTGCTGTTTAACATAGAGACAATACGCGGTCACACACCTTGCAGACAGTTCAAGTACAGCTCGTGCATCAGAGCTGCGTTGCGTCACAGAACAGGTCACCAGAGCCTGGCAAGCAGCTTGTATCCAGGCCACCCCTGTTTTAAGGGGCTCTGAATGCTGCAGTGGCGATTAAAGCTTGTCCAGGGGCAGATGCACGTGGGAGCTCCCACCATCCCACTGCTATCCTCCTCTGGCCACAGAAGGGAATCAGGTCTTCTGTCCTGGTTTCTTCTTCTTAATGCTTTATCAGCTGTTGGCAAAAGGCAGGTTTGCTTCCTTTCCCCTTTTACCACAGAGAAAGGCAATGAAGGTTCTTACATCTCAGATATCTCCTCCTTCTTCCCCAGAGAACAAATGAAACTAGTTCTTTGTCTAAGCACAGGGGAGACATCAAATCTCCCAGCCTATTTCTAGAGCAGTTGGTAGAGCAGGAGCCCAAATACTGCATCAGCAGATCATATCTTAAAGAAATCAAAAATTGAGCACAAGCTGTTAAAATAGAACAAGTGAGAACACTTAGTGTTCATTTCTTACTCAAAAGCAGCTACCTCCATCTCTCTCCAGGGCCTGAAGAAAGCTCCTTCATCAGCCATGGATTGCAAAGATGGTCACTTCTCCATAAGAGGATGACTTCAGCCATAAGTTGGGAGTGTTGTGGTGATAGCCAAAGCACCCATAGAGTTTCAGGTCTACTAGGAAGAAGCCATGGCTGCTCACCTGCTCTATGAAACGGCCTGTGGAAAAGAGAGTTGCTCTCAGTTCATGTAAGTCCTTTTTCAAATTTCCCCTCCCCAGCTGCTGCCAACGCACAGCTCATGTTTATCCAATAGAAACATCTGAGAAACAGTTTTTAGGCCACGGCCACAACATTTTGCAGAATCATGCTGGTCATGCTAAATAGCTGTTTAAAAAAAAAATCATTTCTCAAACAAAGCATTTCACTTCAGATAAACCCACTGGAAGAGCTGTGGGAGGGACGCATACCTGCACTTGCCCAGTTCCTTCTGTTCGGGTACCTCTGTTTTGCTCCATGGGTATAGAAACATCCCCTGTCCAGCCCTCCCTGGATGTGCCACCATAGCGCTGCAGGTA